CTTCCTCACATGCCACACATCAGTGAATGTCTGATGAAGAGGAGTTTGAAGCCCACAGACCTCAGAGACATGACACTGGGACAGCTGCAGGTCATCGTCAACGACCTGCACTCACAGATCGAGGGTAACACACACTCACACACACACACACACACTCACACACACACACACTCACACACACACACACACACACACACACTCACACACACACATACACACTCACACACACACACACACTCACACTCACACACACACACACACTCACACACACACACACTCACACACACACACACTCACACACACACACACACACACACACACACACACTCACACACACACACACACACACACACACACACACTCACACACACACACACACACACTCACACACACACACACTCACACACACACACACACACACTCACACACACACACACACACACACACACACACACACACTGACAGGTGATTTCTCTGCAGGTCTGAACGAGGAGCTGGTGCAGCTGCTGCTGGTGCGGGACGAGCTTCAGATGGAGCAGGACGCCATGTTAGTGGACATCGAGGACTTCACCAGGTGAGCAGCTCCTGCTTCACACACCCAATCAGCATCACGCTAGGAAGCCTTCAGGCCCGGACAGCAGCATAGTTCGGCCTAGATCCGGGCCGTGTGTGGATATCAAGCTCGATGTTCTCTCTCCACTCCTGATTTCTAACACACACTCACAGTGTTCAGCTGTCAGAGTAGACACTACAGCTGATGCTCTCCGTCGTGTTCATGTGTAAATTACACAAGCTTCTTTTGTCCATAAGATCGAAAGATCTGGAAAATGCCATACATAGACCCTTCCCTTGAAGAGATCCGGCCAGGAGTGGCTAACGTGGACATTAAACAGCAGGTGTGAGCGAGTGTGTGTCCCGTCTCCTGTGACCGGTCCACCACACCAGCATCTGACTCAAACTGCTGAAGGCCACTTTATATTCGGGGGAAAGTGATGGTGTAAAAGCTGCAGTAGTGAAGGACAAATTCTGCTTACACTTTATTTCAGTGTGCCTTAACTACTCTAACTACCCACGAGACTGTGTGTTTACTGTTGAACTACTCTAACTACCCACGGGACTGTGTGTTTACTGTTGAACTACTCTAACTACCCACGGGACTGTGTGTTTACTGTTGAACTACTCTAACTACCCACGACTCACGAGACTGTGTGTTTACTGTTGAACTACTCTAACTACCCACGACTCACGAGACTGTGTGTTTACTGTTGAACTACTCTAACTACCCACGACTCACGAGACTGTGTGTTTACTGTTGAACTACTCTAACTACCTACGAGACTGTGTGTTTACTGTTTAACTACTGTAACTACCCACGACTCACGAGACTGTGTGTTTACTGTTGAACTACTCTAACTATCCACGACTCACGAGACTGTGTGTTTACTGTTTAACTACTGTAACTACCCACGACTCACGAGACTGTGTGTTTACTGTTGAACTACTCTAACTACCCACGACTCACGAGACTGTGTGTTTACTGTTTAACTACTCCAACTACTCTAACTATCCACGACTCACGAGACTGTGTGTTTACTGTTGAACTACTCTAACTATCCACGACTCACGAGACTGTGTGTTTACTGTTTAACTACTGTAACTACCCACGACTCACGAGACTGTGTGTTTACTGTTGAACTACTCTAACTACCCACGACTCACGAGACTGTGTTTACTGTTTAACTACTCCAACTACTCTAACTACCCACGAGACTGTGTTTACTGTTGAACTACTCTAACTACCCACGACTCACGAGACTGTGTGTTTACTGTTTAACTACTCCAACTACTCTAACTACCCACGAGACTGTGTTTACTGTTGAACTACTCTAACTACTCACGACTCACGAGACTGTGTTTACTGTTGAACTACTCTAACTACCCACGACTCACGAGACTGTGTTTACTGTTGAACTACTCTAACTACTCACGAGACTGTGTGTTTACTGTTTAACTACTCCAACTACTCTAACTACCCACGAGACTGTGTGTTTACTGTTGAACTACTCTAACTACTCACGACTCACGAGACTGTGTTTACTGTTGAACTACTCTAACTACTCACGACTCACGAGACTGTGTGTTTACTGTTGAACTACTCTAACTACTCTAACTACTCACGAGACTGTGTGTTTACTGTTTAACTACTCCAACTACTCTAACTACCCACGAGACTGTGTGTTTACTGTTTAACTACTCCAACTACTCTAACTACCCACGAGACTGTGTGTTTACTGTTTAACTACTCCAACTACTCTAACTACCCACGGGACTGTGTGTTTACTGTTGAACTACTTTAACTACCCACGACTCACGAGACTGTGTGTTTACTGTTGAACTACTCTAACTACTCTAACTACTCTAACTACCCACGACTCACGAGACTGTGTGTTTACTGTTGAACTACTCTAACTACTCACGAGACTGTGTGTTTACTGTTGAACTACTCTAACTACCCACGACTCACGAGACTGTGTGTTTACTGTTGAACTACTCTAACTACCCACGACTCACGAGACTGTGTGTTTACTGTTGAACTACTCTAACTACTCACGAGACTGTGTTTACTGTTGAACTACTCTAACTACCCACGACTCACGAGACTGTGTTTACTGTTGAACTACTCTAACTACTCACGAGACTGTGTGTTTACTGTTGAACTACTCTAACTACTCACGACTCACGAGACTGTGTGTTTACTGTTTAACTACTCCAACTACTCTAACTACCCACGAGACTGTGTTTACTGTTGAACTACTCTAACTACCCACGACTCACGAGACTGTGTTTACTGTTGAACTACTCTAACTACCCACGACTCACGAGACTGTGTTTACTGTTGAACTACTCTAACTACTCACGAGACTGTGTGTTTACTGTTGAACTACTCTAACTACCCACGACTCACGAGACTGTGTGTTTACTGTTTAACTACTCCAACTACTCTAACTACCCACGAGACTGTGTGTTTACTGTTGAACTACTCTAACTACTCTAACTACCCACGACTCACGAGACTGTGTGTTTACTGTTGAACTACTCTAACTACCCACGACTCACGAGACTGTGTGTTTACTGTTGAACTACTCTAACTACTCTAACTACTCTAACTACCCACGACTCACGAGACTGTGTGTTTACTGTTGAACTACTCTAACTACCCACGACTCACGAGACTGTGTGTTTACTGTTGAACTACTCTAACTACCCACGACTCACGAGACTGTGTGTTTACTGTTGAACTACTCTAACTACTCACGAGACTGTGTTTACTGTTGAACTACTCTAACTACCCACGACTCACGAGACTGTGTGTTTACTGTTGAACTACTCTAACTACCCACGACTCACGAGACTGTGTTTACTGTTGAACTACTCTAACTACCCACGACTCACGAGACTGTGTGTTTACTGTTGAACTACTCTAACTACCCACGAGACTGTGTGTTTACTGTTTAACTACTCCAACTACTCTAACTACCCACGAGACTGTGTGTTTACTGTTGAACTACTCTAACTGCCCACGAGACTGTGTGTTTACTGTTGAACTACTCTAACTACCCACGACTCACGAGACTGTGTGTTTACTGTTTAACTACTCCAACTACTCTAACTACCCACGAGACTGTGTGTTTACTGTTGAACTACTCTAACTACCCACGACTCACGAGACTGTGTTTACTGTTGAACTACTCTAACTACCCACGACTCACGAGACTGTGTGTTTACTGTTGAACTACTCTAACTGCCCACGAGACTGTGTGTTTACTGTTTAACTACTCTAACTACTCACGACTCACGAGACTGTGTTTACTGTTGAACTACTCAAACTACTCACGACTCACGAGACTGTGTGTTTACTGTTGAACTACTCTAACTACCCACGAGACTGTGTTTACTGTTGAACTACTCTAACTACCCACGACTCACGAGACTGTGTGTTTACTGTTGAACTACTCTAACTACCCACGACTCACGAGACTGTGTTTACTGTTGAACTACTCTTAACTACCCACGACTCACGAGACTGTGTGTTTACTGTTGAACTACTCTAACTACCCACGAGACTGTGTTTACTGTTGAACTACTCTAACTACCCACGACTCCCGAGATTGTGTGTTTACTGTTTAACTACTCTAACTACTCACGACTCACGAGACTGTGTGTTTACTGTTGAACTACTCTAACTACTCACGACTCCCGAGACTGTGTGTTTACTGTTTAACTACTCTAACTACCCACGAGACTGTTTACTGTTTAACTACTGTAACTACCCACGACTCACGAGACTGTGTGTTTACTGTTTAACTACTCTAACTACTCTAACTACCCACGAGACTGTGTGTTTACTGTTGAACTACTATAACTACTCACGACTCACGAGACTGTGTTTACTGTTGAACTACTCTAACTACTCACGACTCACGAGACTGTGTTTACTGTTGAACTACTCTAACTACTCACGACTCACGAGACTGTGTTTACTGTTGAACTACTATAACTACTCACGACTCACGAGACTGTGTTTACTGTTGAACTACTCTAACTACTCACGACTCACGAGACTGTGTTTACTGTTGAACTACTCTAACTACTCACGACTCACGAGACTGTGTTTACTGTTGAACTACTCTAACTACTCACGACTCACGAGACTCTGTGTTTACTGTTGAACTACTCTAACTACCCACGACTCACGAGACTGTGTGTTTACTGTTGAACTACTCTAACTACCCACGAGACTGTGTTTACTGTTGAACTACTCTAACTACTCACGACTCACGAGACTGTGTTTACTGTTGAACTACTCTAACTACTCACGACTCACGAGACTGTGTTTACTGTTGAACTACTCTAACTACTCACGACTCACGAGACTGTGTGTTTACTGTTGAACTACTCTAACTACCCACGAGACTGTGTTTACTGTTGAACTACTCTAACTACCCACGACTCACGAGACTGTGTTTACTGTTGAACTACTCTAACTACTCACGACTCACGAGACTGTGTTTACTGTTGAACTACTCTAACTACCCACGAGACTGTGTTTACTGTTGAACTACTCTAACTACCCACGAGACTGTGTTTACTGTTGAACTACTCTAACTACCCACGACTCACGAGACTGTGTTTACTGTTGAACTACTCTAACTACTCACGAGACTGTGTTTACTGTTGAACTACTCTAACTACCCACGACTCACGAGACTGTGTGTTTACTGTTGAACTACTCTAACTACCCACGACTCACGAGACTGTGTTTACTGTTGAACTACTCTAACTACCCACGACTCACGAGACTGTGTGTTTACTGTTTAACTACTCTAACTACCCACGACTCACGAGATTCTGTGTTTACTGTTGAACTACTCTAACTACCCACGAGACTGTGTGTTTACTGTTGAACTACTCTAACTACTCACGACTCACGAGACTGTGTTTACTGTTGAACTACTCTAACTACTCACGACTCACGAGACTGTGTTTACTGTTGAACTACTCTAACTACCCACG